GGCCAAGGACATCAGCAGAGCCATCCTGGGATGCTGTTAGCAGGGCCCTGCCTTCCTCCTCCTCCTCCTCCTCCTCCCAGCCCAGCCTGGCAGCACCATCTAGTGGCAACGTGTCCTGGCCAAGTCACTGTCACCTCCCGGGTGTCCCCTGCCCTGAACCACAACGCTGGAGCAAAGGAGACCCCAGTGCCCCCATCCAGAAAGACCCCCATCCCCAAGGGGTATTGCCCAGCTGCACTGAGGTCCGTGGGGTACAGGGGTGTCCCCAGGTCCCCCTGCCATGCCCCAGGGTCCTGACCATGACCTTGAGCCCTTTACCAGGCTGGTTGTGCCAAGGTTGATATTTGTCAAAAATGTCCTTTTATTTCTTCTAGCAACCACTGACCTCCCCGGGGAGTGTCTGTTCCTCCCGTGGGTCCAGCGTTCCTGGATCACCCTCCAGCATCGTGGTAAGAGGGGGGTTCACATCTTCCCACCACATCCCTCCATCCATGGGGTCATGATGTTCCTCCTCAAACCCACTCCATCACCCCAGACAGCCCATGGAGGATGCCAGCCCTAAGGAAACCCTCCCTTTTCCTCAATCTTCCCTTTCTGCACCCAAAAATGAAGGTGTTTTTCCTTCTTTCCAGGCCAAAATGGACAATGAGGTCCTGGGCTACAAGGACCTGGCTGCCATCCCCAAGGACAAAGCGATCCTGGACATCGAGCGCCCCGACTTGATGATCTATGAACCCCATTTCACCTACTCGCTGATGGAGCATGTGGAGCTGCCCCGGAGCAGAGAGGTGAGGGTGTCCTGGGACCCCCCCCCACCCCTGCATCCCCCAGTTCTTTTAGGGGGGGATGATGGGGAGGGGAAGCCCCTCAGAGAGAGGGGTCCCAGAGGGCACTGGAATCAATTGCTTCTTGTCTCCTGCAGCGTTCCTTGTCTCCCAAATCCATCTCTCCTCCTCCATCTCCGGAGGTGAGTACAGACACCCCTGGCCCCAGCTCTGGGACACACATGGGGGGTCCAAGGAGGAGGGGGAGATGCTGAATTCTTGGGAGTCTCACTCCTCACTGGCCCCACTTGCCCACAGGTCATCCGGGAATGGCTGGAGAGCCGGACCCCCGGCACTGCCCCACAGCCCACCCCTCGCCAGGGCAGCAGCTCGACCCGCAGCAGCGTGCAGCACTTCCACAGACCTGGTACTGTGATCCCCCCCCCTCCTCCCCACTTCTGCCAGACCCCAAACCCCAGCACAACCCCACCATGGGGGTCTGGGTAAGAACCTTCCCAGAGCTGTGAATTCCCCTTTCCTGCCCCCAAATCCCCTTTATCCTTCCAGAGACCGACACGACAGAGCTCAACATATACAAGAAGCCACCAATTTACAGGCAGAAAGGTGAGGAGGGGGTGTCTGTCCCACGGGATGGGGTACCCCAGGGGCACTACCTCACCCCTCCCTGTGCTCCACAGACCACCATCCTGGTGCTCACCATGGGAAGCATCTCATAGAGGATTTGATCATCGAATCCTCCAAGTTCCCAGCAGCGCAGCCCCCAGACCCCAACCAGCCCGCCAAGATCGAGACCGATTACTGGCCGTGCCCCCCGTCCCTGGCTGTCGTGGGTAAGTGGGGGACAGGGCAGGAGAGAGGGGTGGGCTCCACCAGGGGGGTTATCCCCCTCCCAGAGACCCCAGGTGGGTGCTGGGGATGGATATAAGGTCCCCTCTTGTCCCCCAGAGACGGAGTGGAGGAGGCGGATGGCATCCAAGAGAGGGGAGGAGGAGGAGGAGGATCTGACAGAGGAGATGAAGAACCTGCGGGAGCTCCAGAGGCAGGAGCTGAGCAAGGTGAGGGGCAGAGCGGGTGGGTGGGCACTCTGTGAGGGGCTGGCACTGACCCCCACC